CTCTCTCTAGAGCCCAAGGGAGAACCCGTTTTTCTACTGTCGTAGGGGAGCCTTGCCAAGAAGGTTGAAGTGGTGTGTGTGTGGAGTTTAGGAGCACCATGAACATCAGGTAAGTGAGCCTAGCTATTATGCATCAATAAATTCTAGGGATTTATGCGAAGTGTTGAAAATGGGGGAAAATGATAGGATGAAATGTATGAGCATGAATGCATTGTGATGGGCTTGAAATATCAGATGCCATGATCGATTGAGTCTTGTATATGATTCTATTTATGGTGGAAATGTGTGAAGTAGTTCACTTGTGGCAATAGTTTAATATGAACTTGGTTTGTATCAAGATTTGCTTTGGTTTATTTTGTGTTGCATTTTCTCGAATGTATGTTAAACTTAAGAAGGCAAATTTCCAGAACTGTGATGGTTCTTGCATCGGACTTTCTAGTTTCCAAACGGCATCCAAATGGACCCAAACTAGTTTTGAATGAATGATATGATTGTCTATTTCAACTTTTCTTTTTATATCATCTTGAAATTCCCCATGGATTAGACATTATAGCTCACAATGTGTGGGTATGTTATTGTTAAAAGATTGCAGAAACTTCCTGAAAACTTTTTTCATACCAAACTTTTGACCTATCAAATGATATCCAAATGCTCTCAGATTATTGCAATTTGGTAAATACATGTGTCTACTATGATGTTTATATTTTAACCTTGCCCAAATTCTTCATAAATGAGGGGCCATCCTTTAAATTGTGTATATATGTCACTGTTAGCAGATTTTACTAGATTTCATAGCTGCTACCTATGTTGTCACAAGTTTTGACTAACCAAACGGAGTCCGAATGATTCCAAACCACTGCCACTTGAACGATCTGTGAGTGTACTAAAAGTTGCATGTTTGAAATTCTTGGTAGGTTGAGAGTTATGCTGCAAAATGTGAGGGTATATCATTGTCCTTAGTTGTAGAAAAATTCCAGCAACTGTCACTCACTTTGTGCTGAGCTTTTGGCCTGTCAATTGTTGTCCAAACACCTTCAAACCACCACCATTTTAAAGCTCTGTTTAGAGTTACATGTTTTGATCATTTTGAGATTCTCCCTAGATTGGGAGTTATGCCTCCAAGAAAGGGGGTATGTCACTATTACATAATATAGAGATTTTCAAATTTGAGCCTATTGTAGAAATAAATGGTATCTAAGTTCGATGAGGCACTAAATAACTATGAATTTGTTAATACTAGTGCTGAATAATGTATGCATCCGAAGTAGTGGGGGTAGTCATCTCATTTTAGTGTTATATGTAGATGACATTATCATTACAGGTAGTGATCCTAAGGTTATTAAAGATACCAAAGAGTGGTTATCTTCACAATTTGAGATAAAAGACTTAGGAGAACTAGAGCAGGTTCTTGGCATGCAAATCATAAGAGATACAAAGAGAAGATTACTCTACTTAAGCCAATAATTGTATAATGTAAAGATACTGAAAAAGTTTAGAAAGAATGAATCTAAACCAATGGGAACCCTATATGAGAAAAGGTGTAAACTGTTCAAGGACGTGTGTCATAAGACTGATAAGGAAAAAGAGATTATAGAAAAGATCCCTTATGCACGAGTAGTAGGATCATTGAACTATTTGATGAATTGCACACGCCCTGACATAGCATATGCAGTGGCGGTTGCTAGCCGTTATATGAGTAACCCAGGCATAGAACATTGAAAACTTGTAAAGATAATATTTAGATATCTCAAAAAGACCACCAGTTATAACCAATGCTATGGAAATGGTAAATTAGAATTGCAAGGCTACAGTGATGCTAATTGGGCTAGCATAGATGATGAATTCAAGTCTACATCTAGATGGCTTTTCACTTATGGAGGAGCATGTATATCATGGGGCAGCCATATACAAAAGAGTATGTCACAATCAACCATGGAGGCAGAGTATGTAGCCTTGTATGAGGCGGCCAATGAAACAATTTATTTAAGAAAATTGCTTAATGAGATACCATTGGCTACGTTTGAGAGCACTCCAACAGTTATTCATTGTGACAACCAAGCTGTCATAGCCATTTCTAAATATCCTATGTACGACAATATAGCAAAACATATTGATAGAAAGTATCATTCTGTGAGAGAGATTGTAGGACAAAAGGATATAAAAGTAATGTATCACCACGCGGATTTCATGATAGCTGACCCATTGACTAAAGGTATCAACATAAATACGCATGAAAGGTTTGTAAGGGGTATGGGATTAAGATCCACATGTTTCTTATGATACGCATGTGGTGAGCCTTACTGGCACAACTATTGAACATGTGGAATGTTATATAATTACCCTTTGCCTGTGTGGCATATCCGCCTTTGTGGCGATGACGCCTGTGTGGCATGTGTAAGCGCCCTCCGAGGGTGGTTAGGTTATGTCTTCAGCCATTTAATGGTTCGTATGTGGCGAAATCTCTCGGAGGGGTAAGTGTCATGAACCACTGCCAGCTAGCAGTCTTTTGACTTTGTTTTCCACATTTCGAGACTAAATGGAACAGTTATACTTGGCATGACTTACTGAGTATGACCTCCAGCTAGTAGTCTTTGACTCCGTGTTTCACCACTGTGATGGCTAGCTTGAATATTTGGACAGTTGAACATGACCTCTAGCAGTCTTTTGATTCTGTTATCCGCATTGTGATGCCCAAACTGGACAGTTGTATTTGGCATGACTCACTGAGCATGACCTCCAATTGGTATACCTTATAGACACAGTTTTCCACTTTGCGATGGCTAGTTTGGACAGTTTGAGGATCCTCATGGGATCATGGCTTGATTCACTTTGGTTATTCACATTTTTCAAATGACAGAGATTCCTTTTGATAATGTATGTATCACGGTGTGAGTGTCCGATGCTTTTCGGAGGACACTAGTGAGAGAGAGAAAGTCCTATAATCTAAAAGCATGTTGGTGAAGTTCATTATATGGTTGATGATCACGCAATACGTCACGACAATTCATGAGCCTAAGAATGTGTGCGGTTGATGCCATTGAGTGGATGGATTATGTGTGTGGATGGATTTGTTGTTTGAGGATGTACAGCTCAAGCGACCTCTATATAGCTACTAAAAGTTTGTATGATGGTTTTATAAATATTTTGAAACAAGTAGGGGAATGTTAGAGAAAATTGTATTTCCAAATATTTACAAAATAAGGGCCCAAAAAATTTAATTTATTTATTTTCTTTTCTACCCTACTTAAAATATATTTTAAGAGAAGCTAGTGCTTTGTGTAGAGAATAAGAAAGACCCATGTGAAAAGATGGACAAGTGGCTATTGAAAGGCAACACTTGTCATTCCTCTCTCTACATGTGTCTCTCTAGTTTTCTCTTTTTTATAGCTATATTTATGGAAATGGGTTTTGGGAGGCTGGTGTAACTAGCACAAGCACTCTTTCTTTCCCAAAAACCTATTTCTCTCTCTTATGCTTCTTTGTGAGCTGGGTAGAAGGGAGGTGCCTCTCATCTCTATGAGAGCCCTCCAGTGTAACAGGATCAATTCCAGTATCGTGTTGCATCTCGAAGAAGCTTCTCTCTGTAGATTATTTGCTAACAACTGTTTTGCAAGAAACTTGTGTTCTATTTTGTGTTATATATTGCTGGAAAACTCATTTTCAGCTATATTCTCTCTCTAGAAAAGCTATCAAATTGTGCCTATAAATTCATACGAATTTGGTGAGGTTGTTTCAACTTTCTTCTTCATCTTTTGTATCTAGAAATACTACAAGTTTTGAAAATATTGTATGAGGAATGGAAAAGGTATTGGGCATTGTTTTGAAAATATTGTATGAGGAATAGAAAAAGTATTGGGCATTATCTTATATAGTTGGAATAGTTTATGATGGGTCTTTTATGAGTGCATGTTTGTAGGAAATTATATTGGGATTGCTTAAAAGAGCTTATCAATAGTTGTAATTGATTTTTTGTTGAGATTCTTTAGTGGATTACAAAGTTAGTGATACTTGTACATTATCTTGAGTTTGAAAGAATTTACAGCAACTTTTTGTGGGTATTTTGATAAAAATTGCATACCATATGTTTGTGGATATTTCTGATTGAGTTCAAAACCCATCTTGCATATTGATATAGCTCTATTTACTTCTGAAAATCTTAAAGATCCACTATATTTGGGCCAATAAAGAAAGCCCCCTACCCGATTTTTCATTAATAAAAACAGGATAACATGTTATTATACAACCCTACAATATGGAAGTTGCGCCAAATCATGTAATAAAAGAAGAGAGAAAACATTAGGTGGAAGACTACACCAAATTGTGGCTTCTGTATAAACCGATCATCTCTTAGCGAGGGCATCAACTACCATATTCTCCTCACGAAAAAACATGAGCAATAGACCACTTGTAATACGATAACCATGCATGACAATTGTCAACTATCATCTGTAACCTCCAAGGGGCATGACGTTGATTTTAATGGAATCTACTAGTAGAGATGATTCACTCTCTATCTGTAACGAAAATCATCTCGTTTGAATAGTTAAAAGATTGCCTTCTTCCATTGATCTAGGCTTTTCAAGACAAACGGTCCAATTCAATTTTCAAAACACATAGTCTTTGAAAGTCATTTTACTGCATTAACCTTTAATTTTTACCAAGTCATGTCATATAAATAAAAAGAGTCATAAAATCCATCTATGGTTTTATCCAAAACAAAAGCATGACTAAATAGATATTTATCAAAACCCGACAAATATCCAAAATGCATATTTTTTTGGCAATTTGAAGAGCCTAAGATGAGATCCTCATCACATGCAATACTCCATATCACTGGACATTACCGAGAGGACAAACAACAAGACCGGGTTCTGTCAAAACATACAAATGGGTGCAACCATGCCTTTGTGCTCCATAATGAAATGAGTCATACCCATCTCTGGTGTTTAATACTTAGGCCACAGATCTTGATCAAAACACTAAAACCACATCCCCTTGTGTTTAATAGCTCACTCAAGTACAAGAAGGTACATATATTAAAGGGTATTCAAAATCAGCTCTTTCAAACTTGTAGTACCTATCAACTAATGTCTTTGTTTTCCATACATATATACAAAACCAACCAAGATATAATCAAAAGAAGTATAAGGTCAAGTTAAACTCAAAATGGTTATAATTTAGGGAAAATTACAAAAAAAACCCCCAAATGTACTATTTACGCAACTTACCCCCTAGCCAACTTTTCCTCTCACTTTTTTCCCCACAACAACTTTTCCTCGCAAAAACCCCCCAAGGTAAAAAGTTGTTATGTTTTGGACGGAAATTCCCTTCCCATACAAAAAAATTCAAATGGCAGTCCTAAGTTGCGTATTTCCGGAGCGTAGAATAACACTGCCGCAGCGCTTTGTAATGATTACCATATCATAATAGGTACTGTCGTGTGGCTCTAGAAGGTGTACCACTAGAGCGCCTTCATCAACGACCAGAGCACTGAAAACCCTGCCGGAGCGCCCTAATGCACTGTCGAAATGCTGTGGCTCCAACGTCCCAACTGTCGAAGCGCATTCATAGAGTGCCGAAGCGAAATGTCTTCAAAAGGTGTACTGCCGATGCAAGATCACGTAATGCCAGAGCAAATTCGTTTACTACCAGAGACAACTACCACACTACTGGAGCGCTGTGGCTCCAGAAGGTGTACTGTCGGAGCGAATGTCTGTATCGTCGGAGAGCGTTTTTGTACCACCAGAGCGACGTAATCAACCGTCGGAGTGCCCTAGCTCCAGAAGGGCTACCGTCGAAGCAAGTTTTCATATCACCGCGCGTTGTCTTTGTTGCCAGAGAGAGAGAGAGAGAGAGAGAGAGATAAAAGGCATGTGAAAAAGGGTATTTTAGATTTTTTTTTTAGTTCTTTTTGGGTTGGGGGGGTTTTGCGAAGATAAGTTGTTAATGGGAAAAAGGTGAGAGAATAAAGTTGGATGGCGGCAAGTTGAATAGATAGTGTATATTGGTGGGGTTTTTGTAATTTTCCCTATAATTTATAGAATCCTCTTTCCCTATATGATCTAACCATGTAATGTGGGATAGATTTCATACCTTTCAAGCCATATAGTGTGGTACCATGCATCCTTTGATCATTGCTTTTACTTGCTCTGACAAACTCTTGTTGTCTTGGAAGAGCACACAACTTATGGAGAACCACGTGGTCATTATCTGCAATATTAGAGAAGCTTCTAATTCTTCAGCTTTCATATTCTTCCTCACTCCAAAATGAGGAAATATTCTTCATGCCATCACTCCAAAGGTAACACTTTTGATTTTGCCTCTGATCTTGGGGTTTTAGGCTGCCACCAATCTCTCTACAGATGCCGTTCATCACCTAAAACCAAGATGCATTTTATAAATATAACATGTAATTTGTAGTTTCCAAATTCAGCACCCTTCACATAGGGTATCATATCTCCCCAACATTACATGACCTCTCTCTAACTTTAATGTCATAAAGTATACTCATAGCACACTATAAAAACTTAGAATGAGCCTAAAAAGACTTTCATCATTTAGGGGAGTATAAATCTGTGACTTAACAATAACACCTTTTGATTTACTGCATAATAGAAGGTGAAAATCCCTTGCAAAAGATACAATCTCTCTTAACTCACTCTATTCAATAAGCATATAAAATAAAGACATTCACATTACATAAAAACCATATAAGATTACAAAAAGTCAATATGACCCTTCTCTAATGAAACAATTTTTTCTCTTAATGCCCATGGAGTTCCTCATCTCACATTTTTTTATTATAAAATAAATTCAAAATGGAATGTATGGCCCTAAAAACATTCTAATAAGAAGGAATATAAAAACGTGACATTCACGTCACATAAACAATCTTTGCTACAAAAAAATGCAAGTTTGAGCACCCTTCAATAAAATAATCATCTCTCTCAAACAACTGGGGGTTTTTCCATCAATTTTTTTTTTTTAAGTGGACTCAAAATGGGTGAATATTAGTCAAATCCCCTCCAAAAATAAAACTATTTAGTTGTTAGAAAAAAATCACAAAACATAGTACACAGTTCTTGTATTCTATGGAATCATAACTGGTACCTCTCAATGATGATTCCATAACTTTTAATGCCCACATGATCTCCCAGGGAGATACTACTCTCAAAACCACAAAATATAAGAAAAGTTCCTCATCCTTTGGTCCAATCAGTGAGCCAAACCAACACAAAAAGCCCTAATTTGTAGCATGCCTCCAGATGTTAGAAATTCTTCCAAAGGTACTTCAGAAATTCTTCCAAAGGTACTTCACTTTTTCACAAAGCCATTGGCTTTCATATTTCTGATTCAAAAGTCACAAAAAAAAATAATTAAAAAACAAAAAACAAAAACAAAAGTAATATGGCAAAAAGGGATCTGGCTTTGATACCAATGCAAGGTAAACAACATAATCTAGCCAAGTATATACATTTAAAATTTTTCTTTTCTTTCTTTTATTCATACCGGCTAGAACACTTACAAGTGCCCAAAATTACAACTTTAATTCATAAAATAAATATTAATACAATCTAGGATCATCTCTTGCAAACCATGACAATTCTTTAAAATCAACAAAATGTATGAAGTTGAATCAAGAAACATGAAGCCACTAAAATACCAAATACCATGCCTCAGTTTACCCTAAGGACTTCCTATGCCCCACACCAAATTATTTCTACTGATGGTGCACGAGATCTCGGTTCTAACTTTGTCTTATATTTCGAGAAGCCTCGGCAAAAATCCTTACACAATAATGAAAGCATATTGGAGCACAGGAGGGGAATCTTTTAACCATAAGGGTTTAGGTTTACCAAGCATGGAGCGCCACTCTACATGGCTTGGGCGTGCCCCTTTTAATAATAAATTATTTTAAATCCTAAAAGAAAGAGAAAAGAACATAAAGAAGAGAGAGAGTGGGGGCATACCTTCCTATGAGTGAGAGAGACCAAGCTCTGATGTGTAGTGACACAAGATGAGGTTTTACTTTGTTTTCATAAAGCCTAGGCATGGAAACTGCATTCATTAAGAGCAAGAACAAAAAAATGTGCTTCTATAGGTGTTTGTCAAACTATAAAATGGGAACTTAGCGAGTGTATGCCATCATGTAGTGCCCATCATCAGTGGAGTCTCCCGACTTGAACTATTAAATTTTCAAGTTAGCTAATCTGAGGATTTCTTTTTTTTTTCTCGTACATATCACAAACATTAAATTTGTTCATTTCTTATACGTCTATAACATGCGGTTCAAGTAGCAATGGGGGCTCATATTAAAACACAAGGAGTTCTGATCGAGTAAAGGATTGATATTACCATGTGCTATCCCGTATGTTGAGCATTTCTCCAGCATTAGTTCATGGCTCAGAACCTCTTAAACAAAAATTATTGAAGAGGATGACCTACATTCATCCTGGCAAACAAGCTCATGAGAAAAAGCTGAGAGGAAACCTTTTTTTGGTGGAGAGAAAACATGGAGGCCATGGAAATGTTTGTTTGTCCCTAGATTTTGTATATTTACTCACTATTACCAAATGAAGAACTAAAAAAGGGGTTTTGAATTAGAGCTCAAAAGATTTTCCAACACTACCTCTCTTCCATGCCTTTCATTTTTTTTCTTTTTTTTGCTTGTAATTCCCTACACAGTCTCAAGCCCCATCACCCTAGAACTTCCATTGCATAGCGGACTAGACTGAATGTATCAGGCAAGGAATTTTCCTCTAACCAGGCTAGTCAAATCTGAATAGGCATGGGCCATATGGGCGGGGTAATGTCTAAAAAGTAGGGCATGTCTTTGGAAGGAAGTTGAAAGGGAAGAATATGAAGAGGGCAAGAATCAAAGGCTTACATTTTGATAACCTACGTGTCTTCCTTGTCGAATGGGAATAAATAAGATCGTTATCCCAAATAAAAGAATTAAAAGAAGTGAAAGAAAGGGGTAAGTCTTTGTAAAGTACTAGATTCAAGGGACCTGCCCTATACATTTAGGAAGAAAACCTGCAAAGCAGATGATGTTAAGTTCTTACTAAATTTTCCTCTTTTCAGAGGGCCAAGTTATGGCCGTAAACATAAGATAAAATCAAGCTAAAACTTCAGTGGGGCAATTCAATCAAAAATAAAGCTATCAATCAAAATTAAAGCTACCCATGCCCCTGAAATAAAATCTGGCCCATGTAGCACTTCTGGATCCTATAATATCTGATTACCCAAATACCTCTCCAGTTGCCAAAATTCAGGATGCCAAAAGAATTTACTGGTCTCTACCCCAGATTGAATGACCTTAGTGCTGATCTAGAAATAAGAGCATGGTCTCTTGCTGCATAAGGATGTCTAGCCTATATATTTTTTTTTAATCAGATACAAAACTAACCTCACACTATGTACCCAAGTCCCTGGACATTCCAAGACAAGATATTCATGACGAGTGCCCTCCCGTGCTGGCCTGGTGGTTGGGCGGTTTTCAGCACAAATGGGCACTTCGAGTCATTGTTTCTTTGAGGAAATGGTCATGGTTTGTTAGACAGACAAGGTTGTCTGGCCCTCTGTTACCTCAACCCTTGCCTTTGCATCCTCTTTCCTTGTGATGGTTTGATTTCTCTTCTGCCAACTTTATTCTTCTCGCATTTTCTCTACAGACCTCTAAAATTGCATCAAGAGGCGCATCATATAGATGTCCAAAGCTTCAAACATCTCACAAAATTTGCATATTGTCCTTGGAGCACGTGGGGGATCACTGGATGAGGATTTGGAGGGATCTTTAAGCATGGCAAAATAAAGAGGGGCGACATCCAAATGGTTGATTACCTGTAAAGTCGAGGATGGGGGATGGGTTGGTGGATCACCGAAAAGGAGGAAACTGAGCAACAACCTTTTAGATCAAACTGCCTCTTGTGGGGATTGAGGTTTGAGAGGACTTGTCAATTATTATTTCAACAATCAATTTCTCCCATAATAATATCCATACTAACTAGTATCGTACTGATATCAGCTAATTTCATTCTTAAATAGCTGAGAAAGAATTTGCAAATTGATAAGACCAGGTGGACAAACTTTCCATCTCCAAGGAAAAACACTAATATCATAAGAAAAATCTTTAATTCCCCTTCTGGAGCTTCTACTCTCACATAGAGTTCTCGTTTCGACAATTCAAAAGTGGGAGAAGGTTATGGTACATAAGTTCCTATATTAATGGGAAATGGTAATGTTATCTCTTACCCAAAACAGGTCATTTATGGGTATTATCAGGAAGTCCATGCAGATCCAGTATAGTGCCTTTTCCACTCCACAAGGATCAAGATCAAATGAATGTTCAATCTCTTTATGTTGAAGAGAGATATATTTCTGACCTCTCAATGAATAATGATTGAATGAGTTTTGGGCAGGATCAAAAAAGAGGGAGGGTTTCCTTGTTTCAAAGCATAGGGATAAGAGGTGGTTCGGAAGATTTATTTTTGTCTTAGAGGATCTTTATAAGGTGAATTTAGTTGGGAAAAGTGCAAAATTCTCTTCTAACAGAAGGGAAGGGGAAGTTTCGAGCCTGAGGTAATAACATAACGGAAAGAGGAAAGATGGATGGAAGAATGGAGTATGCACCCACCCCACCGCAACCCCAACCCCCCAGGTTGGTGGTGGTTGAGAGGATGGCTGGTAGAACTAGAAAAAGAAGAGGATTTGTCAGGAAGAATATCTACTATTGATCTCTATCAAAACCTTCTTCAAAGCAATTTTGGGCCTCTGACTTCCACTTGGCTTGCAGAAACCCATCAATCTTTTCCGACCTAAAAGCTGTTAGATTTTGTCCTTTGCTACCCAGATGAGCCATTAGATTTGGCTACTATATGGAGCTCTCATCTTGGCTGTTTGATGGTGCCGTTGGATTGCCCCGCCTTTTAATCTCTCATTGATGTGTCCCAGAGTTCACGTGCCACTTAATGAGTTTTTTTAGAGGGACGGCAAATTAGTGGCGGATACTGGCACCATACCAATAATCCTTTCTTTGAAATGTTGAATTTGAACCCAAAATTATTCCCAGAATGTTATTGCCTTTAGCTTGGTTTAGAATCAGGCATGGGCTGATTCATCGCTGCATAGGCCTGAGAAGGCACTGTCCTCCCTCTGCAGCCCCAATTATGCTCCGTAGAGGCATCATTTTGAGCCATTTCTACATTTCTGGTAGCTGTGGTATCGTCCAACTTCAACCATTCCCACTGCCTCTTGGGCTTCCTTAGCACTTCCATCTCCATTCTTTGGCTCTTTGTCCTCTGGGGAGCCCACCCCACTCTGAATGTTCTCTTTCTTCTGTTAACTCTGGACCATGGGTCTTCCTAAAGGTTTTTTTTTGTTCAGGCCATAAAACTTTGTCAACCACTTCAATACTTCGTAATTGAGATGCAGGTCACCAACTTTGAATAGCAGCTTGTTAGGGATGATTGTGTCGTGTTTTCTTTACTCTAAATCTCAGGTTCTCAGGTAGCTTCTAGCTTATTGCAGTTACTTAAGAGGCCACAATAACTTGCCATGTCGAATAAGACTATGTAAATCCGATGCAATAAAAGGGATACCGAAAACGATGAGCCAGTCTCGAAGGGTATGAAGGATGGCTAGCAATCAGGGGTGTGTTTATCTATTGACAGAGTAGGAAGAAAGTGCACCTTACTATTTTTCCATTCCTAAAAGGAGGACCTCAAGTAAAAACACACTGAGGTTTTATGCATGAAATTTTGAAATCTCTAATACCTCAAGATCTCATATCACGCTTTGGGGACCTTATTGATCCTCATTCATATTTGCTATGTTCCTTCATGCAAGACCGCATTGGTCTGAATTTTTTGTTGAACTAGGCGTGGGCAATATCTTACCACCATCCCGAATGACCATCTAAATTAGGCTCCATTTTATACTTCAGACTCTGGTGTAGGCCCATCCCACCTGAAGTGCCTTTTAGATGTACAAAAATGCCAATTTGGACATATATTTTCTTATTATCATGGTTACAGATCTGTTTGATAGTCATATGCTTAGTTTAAGGCTGTAGATCAGTCCCAGCTTCTACTTAAATAGTCTTATATTAGACTTATAGAATATACTCGTTCTTTGATAATTCATTGTTTCAATAAAATTATTATGATAATTAATTATCAGTTGTTTGACAGTGTCCCTCATAAAATTATATGAGATAAACTAGTACATAAGTTTACATATAATTTTAGTTTTAAAAATTTTTTTACTTTATTCAAAATAATTGCTGAAAATCCTACTTTAGCCTGAAACAGCTAAAAATGGCTGAATTGTAAAAACATTTAAATAATTACATAAATAATATTATCCATGTACTAATTTTCGGTAAGATAATGTCCTTACAGGATTATCTGTCATCCAAACAGGCCCTCAATCTTCACAACTTCGCCTAATTTTGTTTGAAGGTGGCACTTGTACGTGCCACTAAAGCAGGATGAGAATCAAAGACAGACATGTAAAAAAAAATTATCCTTGAAGGTGCCATAAACTTTGGAAAACCACCCTTAGAAAACTGCAAGGGCTATCGGTAAGATACTTTTCGATTTCCCACATAAAGAAGAATTGCCTTCCGTAGATTCTCCACAAGCCTCCTAGAAAACTGCATGGGCCATTGGTAAGATACTTTTCGATTTCCCACATAAAGAAGAATTGCCATCTGTACATTCTCCACAAGCCTCTCTTCGTTTAATGCATGTCAATTGCAAGGGATGATCCCACGCAAACTCCAGCCCTCAGAGAAGAAACCCTACTTAATTACAAAGGCTTTCAGGGGCATGCTTTTATGGTGAAGAAACCGTATTATTACGAAGGATTTTCAGAAAATGCTTTTATGGTGAATTATTATTTCCTGAAGCACCTAATGACTTTTCTCTTTTTCAGAGTTACCCATTAGCTATGATGATTTTATTTCAGGCCTTGATGCACTGCAAAGTGCCATGCTCCATGCCCCTCAAAATGAGTAAATTTTCATCATCTTCTGATCATAATTGACTTACTCTTAGCGTTGTACATAGAAATTAGTCTAGATGCTATTCATTCTAGGAGATCATAAAAATTGCAACTGCCAAAATATAAACATTTGGGCATTGTGCATCTGGCATATTCCATACCTGTAAAGCAACTTTTGATTAGAATGGATGGTCCAGATACTTGAGAACCACATATCCCAAAATCCGAACAGTCAGTTCAATCACAGGAGCTGGCAAGGCTCAGTAGTGATACATTTTTTTTTAAGAGGCCCGTTGGCTAAACTGTGACTTGTATATAACTCATTTTCTGCACAATTTCTCCTCTCATTTTGTTTTAACTGGGGTTACAGAATTTTTTATACAGTCCACAATGCCTTCGCAGTCTGCTTCAGAGAGGGGGCAGCCTGATTCATCTCGTGTGGTGGCTGGCTGAGAGTGTGGAGAGCGGAGATTTCCATGTGTTTGGCATGCTTTCATCGTCTTGCAGTGCTCCGCTTCATCATCTCGGATGTTCACAAACACATCATACAAATTCTCTGAAACATTCCCCAAAAAAAAAAGAATCAGGAATGCTTCCCATCAGTTCTTTTGTTCCTCTCTTGTTTTTAATCATAGTTTATTCCATCAAAGATGATTTTATTTGACAAGCCATTAAGGAAAAGAACACTACAATCAAATGGACTATGTTAAACCACATTGGGTCTCACCATCCCATGAGATGGATGACAATCAAAAGAGTGTGACCACCGTTGGGGTTGTTTACCATTGTGGCAAGATCCACTCTTTCATAATTGTCTATCATTTCATTGGCTAATGATGAGCGTAAATGGTTTCCACAGTCGAATGGATTATAGTATATTTCCCATTCATAAAAGCTAGAATGTACTGAAAGCAGCCAAACAGAAAATCTCAGTTGCCGGGCTGGAAAAGATCAAGGTGGAACTCAACAAATTTTGATTGAAGAAATACGGAATCACCGAGTGATTTTCCACTCACCCACTTTTGGTCGGCGAGTGCATGGTGCTCGGCTTGTCTGAAACTCATCTACAAAAAGGAAGCAGGCAAGAAAGTTAAGAAAAAACAATGGATTAAGGTTTGAGGGAAGGTGCAGTCAAACATTAAATGTACTGACCAAACAGATAAAGGTCCCCCTCTGTGTAGTATTTAATGGCAACCTCTGGAGCAGGCAAGCTTTTCAGCTCTTCTGCAAAAAGTTAGTTAACATGCATGCAAAATGAACTCGTGCATTATGCAGGAATCTTAGTTCTGTATGAGATATCCCAAATTGTTACTAGAGAGAGAGGTTAAATTTCAACGAGCTAAATTCTGAAATCATCCAGACAAGTACATCAAGCTCACATTTTTTAAGGGGATTCTTAAATCATCCACAAGGTGAAATAAAAATACTGACACACAAGCCTACACAAACGAGCTTTCTTGCACACGACTGAGGGCGCCTCTATATTCCATCCATACCATGATCTGGGGGCATTTTGATGATTTGTTGTAAACGTTGAAAGCTAAAAATTTAAGTATGTGGCATGTATGGATGCCCTTGTAAAATGGATGTTCAGTAGCAGAAAAGAGACCAAAACACAGAAAAGTAAAAAGGAAAAAAAAAAGGAGGTCCCACCTCCTTTTTCTTATCTCCAAAACTCGCTGGGGCCGCTACTACTCATCGCACCCAAACCCTCCATAAACCATCTCTCTCTAGAACTCTCCAACCACTCAAGAGAGAAAAAGGAGCAGACAGAGATGAACATCATGAGCAAACCCACATTTTAAGAAACTCTATCTCTCTCTCTCTCTCTCTCTCTCTAGAATCTCTCTTTCTCTCCAAAACAAGGCATCATGTGCCCCCTCCATTCTCTATCATAATGCAGCAAAGCTTCGCCCTCTATGATTACAGCCATTCTTGAGTTTGAGAATAATAACAGTGCATTTGACTGGGTAAAAATTGAAGAAGGATATGCAAAGAAAATTGACCAGGTCTATCCTTTCTCCATTTTCTTTTTCCTCTCACATGCTCTTCTTTATCCGCCTGGGATTTGTTAGTGAAGAAGCCCAACCTATGGTTACAGGGTTTTATGCTTTTGGTCCTCTGAATCAACTCTTTGAAATCCTTGCTTTTTTTCTATGAACATTGAAATTCTACACATTCGGTTTTGATTTTTATCTCGAAAAAGAAATCAGGTTTTGAATGATTCTGAAAGAGCAGAGATTGGGTTTTGACTTTAAGGCTTTTGGGGCCACGGCAGCTTCTCTATTTAAGACTGTCCGGAGGCCAAGTCCTGGAGTGTTGGAAGTTGCAGAGATTGGGTTTCAGTGGTTTGGGTTTGGGAACCAAAATGGGTGTGTTCTGATAGTTCATGGGTCCGATGTCTGTGGCTTTGGTTGGGTTATTGGTGTATCAGTGCACAGAGAGAGAGAGAGAGAGAGAGAGAGAATCCTTATGTGCTCACTGGGGGAGAGAGAGAGAGATTTTAACCCTATTCAATATGACTCAAGAACTTGGTATGTCATATCCAGGGTCAATGCTTGTGTAGTTAACAAAAGTGATCTGAGTTGCCAAGTGAAGTCTTACCCAAGCGAGTCCTAAGTTGCTCTTAGGTCATCTTAGTAATGCAATCATTACCATCATCATCATCAAACCTTTCTCCCAACAACACTTGTATCTAGCTAACATTTCTTACAACTTGTCTGAAAAATTAAATTTAATAAAATCTTGACATAATAAATTCCCCTGGCAAGGATAATATTTACCATTATTATAGTTTTGGTAACGGACAGCTGGATGCAGAACCTACAACTGAAATATAAAGGCCATGCTGAAAGAATTCATGCTCACCTCCCTTTAATGTGATAAATTTATCATATGTTGAATATGCATGTTTTTCCACGCATTCAGAAAAGTGATCTGCAAACATAAGATGAATAAAATAAAGAAAGCATACCAATTTTTATAATCTCAATCAATGAGCACTTATATTCACTCAACATTGCAATTTCAAGGTAATAGAAGGAACCACCTCTAGATAATACTAAGAAAACAAGCTAGTTTACTTTTGATTACTCCAAAAATGATGAAAAAAACCTGTATAAAATTACAACAGTTATCAAAAGACAACTTGGAGGTGTGGAATAATCCAAAATCAATATTACGATCATCATGTTGAAAATAATCATAATAGTTTTCCAAATCAAGAAGAAACTGCTCAAGAGTCAAGAGTGTAATTAAGAGCAAATCCCCAGATGAGTAGGTTCAAGTGTCGTCCTCCCAAGAGGTGGAGTCCTCCCACCACTGGAGCAAAATCTACAGACTGTACCCTCGCACCTCTCTGGCTGAAACCTCCTCTGCCCCTCCTCCTCCCCCTCCCATTTCTACCCAGTTGCATTCATCTTCTACTTCTCTCCCCCCTTCTACTTCCTAGGCTCTACCTTCTGGTCTTCCATCCCCCAATCCCACCTACGCACAAGCGGTGCTTTCTAAGCCCGTCGGCGGTCCGGCTGAGGTAGCGAACCCCCCCCCTTTCCTTATGTCCAGCTAACCATTCCTATTCCGGATGACATCTCTACTACCCTCAAACTCAAACTTCGCTCATCCTTGGTAGGCTTCTTTCAACCCAGGTGAGATGATTTCAGGGCAATCGAAAAAATGGCGTCAAAGCCTTTGGGGGGAGCAGGACCTGAGGTGCCTCCGTCTCAGTAACAGAACCATCCTTTTCAACTTCCCTTCAGAAGCCAGTGCCCTTAGGGATCTCGGTTCGGATTCTCTGCCCACCTTCAAGGGAGCACAGCTACACCTTCAAGGAAATCCTTTGAATTCCTATCTAGGGATTCACTTGCCACTTGTAACTTTGGATCAGTGTTTTAAAATGTGGCCGCATCGCCGCATCATGCGATATGCAGTGGGCTACGCATTTGAACTGACTGCATATACGATTTTGAGCTATGCGGCCGCATATGCGCCGCATCGCATCTCACACTTCCGTCGAAATTGTTTTCGATTGTGCCCCTCGAGGAGGGGCAAAATGGTCTTTTTGACCATCCAAAAATGGGGGAAACACTTTGGGGGGGTATTAAACCCCTTAAACGATGATTTACAGCCACTTTTGTGGCTTTTTTTGGATTAAATTGAGCCAAAAAAAAATTAGGCAGAAATTTCTTTTTCATTCAAATCTTCGATTTGCCGGTTATTTGATACTTGGATGTTGATTTGATGCCTTTGATTATTAATTTGGGGAAGTTAGGTGAAAATATGATGATTTACAGCCACTTTTGTGGCTTTTTTCATCAAATCGAGCAAAAAAAAAATATACAGGCGGAAATTGTTTTTTCATTCAAATCTTTGATTTAGCGGTTGTTTGATACGTGGATGTTGATTTGGAGCTTTTAATTGTTAATTTGGAGAAGTTAGGATGAAAATACGATGATTTACAGCCACTTTTGTAGCTTTTTTTTTATCAAATCGAGCAAAAAAAAATATTAGGCAGAATTTGTTTTTCATTCAAATCTTCGATTTTGCGGTTGTTTGATACTTGGATGTTGATTTGATGCTTTTGATGGCTAATTTGGGGAAGTTAAGGTGAATTTGTGACAAAAGAATTGAGCTTGACTTCAAAACTCTTTAATCTTTATGGAGACATGGACATTTGGCTTGTAGTATCACTATTTTGTAACATTGAAGTTTGTGGTTGTAAATTTGTGCTTATGGTTGTTGATTGTTGAATTTTTTATGAAGCTAGTTTCAAGTTTCTAGTTTCTACCAAGGGATAGTGGATACAGAATCTCCGACAGCTAATATTTTTGGACTTAATCCTTAAAACTAAAATACCTACTATCACATATATCACCTCTATATTTTTTCTATGATTAACTTATTTTTGTAGATTTTTTAGAATTTTTTTATATTTATTGACCGCATCGTCGCGATGCACCCGCATCCGGACCGCATCGAGCCGCATCGCCCCCCCCACCACTTTTGGCCGCATCCCGCATTTTAAAACACTGCTTTGGATCCTCATCTCATACCTCTTCCTCTCTGGTTGGAGGTGGAAGGCTCTTTCTTTCGTGTGAGGGTGCCTTGGACTTCGACCTCTCCACCATCCCCTCAGTTCATCAACCATGATGCAGCTCAGCCTTCCCACAAGGCCTACCCAGCTGACTGGAGAGTGGTGCCCGGCCGTCGCCACCACCATTGGCGGCGTCCCTCATTGGTGGTTTTGGAACATGGGAAGGAGGTGCGTACAAGGTTCCAATGCGGGACCACACATCTCGCAGGATTGGCGCCTTCGGGAGCTACGTTGCGACCAGCACAGGAGCAGCTAGACAATAGCACGGCAGCCGCCCACCTTGCTGCTGGCCACGCCGAACCCCTTCCTGTTCCTCCTATCAACAACACTCTCGCTCCACCTGTCCGACCGCTTGTGACACCTATTTTCTGATCTTCTCCTGCCCCAGCAAATTCAACTTTGCAGTCGAATGGCGGTTTCACTTCTCGCCCAAGCAAAGAGGTCGGGTGGACGCTGATCTTTTGGACCAACCTCAGCAGCCTTCATTTATTGATACAGCTGGACCATCAGGCAGTCCCTCTCCCCGCCGGCCCACCATTGTTTCGGCCCACGGGCCCGTCATCGGGTCCCTCCCTTCACCGCCTCTCTTCACCTCAAACGTCATGACACATGTCCCTACAGTCTCTCTCTCTCTCCTCTTTTTCCTCTCCCCATTTTAACCCTTCATTGAATCCTTTTGAGGACACACGTCCCTCTATCATACCTATGCCCCCTGAGCCACCTAACCCCATCCTTGAGCCCCTCACCCCCTCTCCGCTACTATCATCTCCACCCAACCCCATCTTCTCCCTCTCCCCGTCTCTCCTCCCCCTTGCCTTCTCTCTATCCCTGCCCTCTCACCTTTCGATGAAGATCCTCTCTCTCCACCACCTCCTCCCTCTTCTTCTCCACCCCAACCCTCACCCCCTCAACCTGCCCCTGTCTCCCCCTCCCCACCCCTAACTGGACCCCCTTTCTTTCTGCATGCCTCGTTGGGCCCCCCTGACACGTCTTCCATGCCCAGCCCCCCGCCCCCAGGCTAGGTCCCCTTCCCGGAGTGGTATCACTGCCACGTTCACCCTGACCCTTCTTATCCCCCCTACACCTTCGTGTTTGGTTTGTCCAACTCAAACCCTCTCTCTTCTCTACCTCTTCTGACGCCACCCCATTCATCGACCCCTATGGACTGGCCTCCCCTCTCTACTGGGATTTTGGTGGTCCAGTCTCTTGACCCTACCCCACCCGATCTAGAGGCCTTAGCCCCTTTGTTAGTCCCCTACCCCCACTTTCTCCAAACTTGACGCTCTTGGGCCATGCAAGGACAGAGATGTCTTCCTACCCTTTTCCTACCCTAACCCCTGCGGTCCTCTGCTTTTGCCTGAGTTTGCGTCGGCGGTTCCAACCTCCCACCCTCCCCTCCAATTCTGTCACCTACTATTACCCCCTTGTCCCACCTATCCAGATTCTCCCCAACCCTGCTTCGACCAATGCAGCTTTCGATCCCTCACAACAAGCGACAGCCTACCCCTTCCCTTGGGAGTTGTCTTCGCCCCAACTCCCTGAACCCTCTCAGCAAACCCCTCTGTGCCTACCGCTCCTGGCACTTAGACCACTCTCACCCCCTCCCCCTGCATCTCAGGCTCTACCCATGTGGAACCCTACATCACCCTACCTATTGACCTTTACCCCTGCAATCCTTTTGAGACACCCCGCTACCCCACCGCCGACCTTTGCGCTCAGCCTTCACCTGCCTCTTCTTCCTTCTCTTGGTCACCGAACTCTCAATCACCCCCTTCAGTGGATTCAAACTGCATCAATGCTCTTGACTGAGGACAAGGAGATCCTAAGGGTTATGTGCTTCCCACATCATGGTCATGACGGGCCTTTCCACCGTTTTCCCAAGGATAAGGTTGAGAGTATGCTAAAGGTAACGATTAAAGGTCATAGAGATATCTTAAACCTATACTTCAGCATCAATTACGACAAAACAAAAGACTCGGTGCCAATTGTGGTGGTCTTCTCTCCACCCTCCGATCAGGAGTCCCTCCCTATGAGGTCTCCTAGGTTTAACTCTTTGTCATACCCCCACTGTTCCTCATGAAGCTGCTTTCATGGAATGTTCGGGGTTTAGGACAAGACCTCAAGCACTCTGCAGCACGGGATTTGTGCGCCAAACACAACCCTTCCATCGTAGCCCTCACGGAAACTAAACAACCGATCCCTACCCTGCAACTCATCCACCAGGTTTGGGGCCAACACCCCTGCCAGTGGATTTCTATTGTTGCGGCCGGAGCCTCTAGAGGCATATGGGTCATTTGGAACCCAGCTGAACACACCCTCAGCTCTTCTCACCTTGGGGCTTTTTCAGTGATTGCGATCCTCACAAGAATCTCAGACGGTTTTCCATGGAAATTCACAGCAATTTACAGGCTAAATACAGTGTCCCTTAGACCTAAGTTTTGGGAAGAACTGGATCTCGTTGCCAATCTTCCCCACCCGGCGTGGTGCCTTGAAGGAGATTTCAACATCACAAGGTGGTCCTTCGAGCGCAACAGCAACTCTAATATCTCACAAGGAATGCTCGATTTCTCAGACTTCATCTTATGTGATGAACTCCTGGACATCCCTCTACAAGGCAACCTGTTCTCGTGGTCTGATCATTCTTCCCAACCCACCATATCCAAACTCGATACGTTCCTAACTTTTATGTAATGGGCTGATGCCTTACCAGGATCCCATGCAATGGCTCTCCCAAAACTTAGTTGCCCTATTCCACTCCAAACCCAATCGGCTCACAGGGGCCCTAAACCTTTCCGTTTTGAGCTTGCGTGGTTGGAAGAGTCTTCTTTGTCCTCTCTTATCCCTCAATGGTAGGACTTTTTCTCACCCTTAGTCTCGGGTAGGGCAGGGTTTATTCTCCAACGGAAAATTCAACTTCTAATAGTTGCCCTCAAAAATTGAAGCAGAACAATTCCTGCGAACTTTAGTCAAACTAAAAGCTCTCTTCTATCGACCATTCAAGCACTAGATCTATCTGAAGAGTCCCTACGCCTCTCCACTGCTGAGTCCAACCTCAAGACCCAACTTAAACTTAACTACTTCTCTGCCCTCAAAAACGAAGAGATTTTCTGGTTTCAGCGTTCTAGGGTCAAATGGTTGCGCCATGGTGATCACAACACTGGTTATTTCCACATAATAGCTAATCGTCAGCGTAGAGAGAACTCCATCTCGACGCTTAAGTTGGAAAATTATGTTCTCAATCAACCTGCTGATATTGAAGAAGCTATTCTTTCTTTCTATCACTAACTTTATTCAGCCCCTTCTGAACCGAGGCTTAGGATGGGGGACCTCCAATTCCTTACCGTACCTAATCACTGGTCTCAGTGGTTGGAAAAACCCTTCACGGAGTAGGAAATCTTGGACGCCATAAAGACAGGTTCCCTTTTGCCCCTTACAAGATTTTCTGGGATACTTAGCCTGACTTCATCAATTTCTTTGACGAATTTTTCGATCGTGGTATCCTCCACTGAGCGATGAATGCCACTTTCATCGCTTTGGTTCCTCAAGGTTGAGGGGCTGAGGAACCCAAGGATTTCAGACCAATCAGCTTGATCAATTCAACATATAAATTCTGTCCAAAGTGCTGGCCACTAGGATTAAAGAGGTGCTACCCTTTGTGATCTCCTTAAATCAGAGCGCTTTCATTAAAGAAAGGTAGATCCTTGACGAGGTCCTCGTCGCTCAGGAGTGCATCCACTCCAGACACCTTGCCAAAAAACCTGGACTCATCTTTAAGATCGACCGGGAAAAAGACTATGACCACGTCGACTGGTTACTTTTGGATGAAACAATGACAAAGATGGGATTTGGGACCCGATGGAGAAAATGGATGAGAAGCTGTTACATCCATCCCTTCTTCTCCGTGCTTATTTGCGACACACCAAGAGGTTTCTTCCCTTCCTCAAGGAATCTTAAGCAAGGGGACGCCCTGTCCCCTTTCCTGTTTACAATTTCGGCCGAGGTTTTCAGCTGTCCTATCTCATGCATGTACCAGTCCGACCTTCTTTCAGGCTTCAAGAAGTGTCCAAGAGGCCCTATGGTTACCTATCTACAGTACGCAGATGATACGCTAGTGTTCATCGATGCTTTACTACTCAAAATCGAGTACTTACGCAACTTTCTCAAGTGTTTTGAATATGCCACTGGCAATATGGGGAAGTCTACTATGATTGGGGTCGCTCTTTCCCCCTCGAAGACTAGAGAGCTCATACCCCTGTGGTCGTGCAAAGTTGAAAATCTACCAACTACCTACCTTGGGATGCCGTTGGCCTTTGGGAAACCCAAAAATAGAAAGCAGTCTCATGTTATAGATAGGGTAGATCAACGTTTAGCTGGCTGGACAGGTAGATTCTTATCCTTTGCCGGTAGGACTACACTGATAAAGGCTACATTGTCGAATACTCCGGTCTACCTTATGTCCCTTTTCCACATGTCGACGACTGTAGCCAATCTCCTGGAGCAGCTTATGAGAAATTTTCTTTGGTCAGGCGACTCTGATTCTACTAAGTTTCACCTCACTTCATGGCAGAAAGTCTACCAACGTAAACATTTGGGAGGACTTGGGATTAGAACCTTCAGGAAACATAATACTGCTCTGCTCGGCAAATGGTGGTGGCGCCTAGTGAACCACAACAATCTACTATGGTTTAATGTGGTACGTATCAAATACTGTATCTCGCATAATGCTTGGTTGCCAGAGGGCAGAAGACCCACCAGAACTTCTGGGGCATGGAAATCCTTTTCTACAGCCCTGACTGCTTTTGAGCAAAATATTCGGTTTCACCCGAGGCTAGGTCACACCCCCTTGAGGGATAGGTTCCCCTTGTTATTCTCTTTGGCCTCCAATCCATCCTCCTCCATAGCTGAAGAGCTCTCAGCTTTAGGGGGACCAAGGGTTTGGATCCCTCGTTTCAAACAGTCCCTTTTGAATCCCGAATTCCTGGAATTCACCTCGTTGGTCTCCTTACTTCATTCCACCTTCTTGGCCCACTCTGGGGCTGATAGAATCATCTGGACTCCCTCGCCCTCGGGGCTCTTCTCGGTTTCTTCTTTTTACAAGATTTTGCTGCTACCGCCCTCTACACCTCCATCTGCATCTTCAGTCGTCTTCAAGGTGTGGTCCTCCATTGCCCCACCGAAGGTGCACGCTTTTAACTGGATAGTGGGTTTTGAAAGAACCCTCATGGTAGATCACCTACTACGGAGGGGTATCCCAATCCCCAACAGGTGTGTAATGTGCTGTTGTGAGGAAGAGACCAACCCTAACCTCTTCATTCACAGCATTCTTGCCCATAGCTTGTGGAGTAAAATCCTCGGACTTTTCGGTCTGACCTGGGTAACTCCAACCTCTATTCCAGGTCCCTTTCTCCTCGCTGCGGACCCTCCTTGGCCCAACGCAGGTAGACTATATTGAGGGCCATAGCGGCAAGCATATGGGTAATTTGGACTAAGAGGAACTCCAGGATGTTTAGAGGTGCAAAAAGTGAGGTCCCAGCCCTTTTTCATAGAATCACATCCTCAGTGATCTTTTGGGCAACAAACCATAATGCCTTCAATGGCATCTCAGCCACGGTCTTAATTCACAGGTGGGAAAATGTCGTTCAATTCCAACCGGGCCTGGTAGTGAGAGCAAACAATCGGTTGCCCCCTCCAGCAAATCACATCAAGCTTAACTTTGAAGGGTCTTCCCTTGGGAATCCTGGACCATCGAGCATAGGGGGGGTGTTCCGAGATCCTCTTGGACACATTCTAGTAACTTTCTCAACTCACATTGGTCACGCTGATTCTCAATTGGCTGAGTCCTTGGCACTCCTGTCGGGGACTCAAAGCATACCAATCTGGCTGGGACCTTCCCTTGCTAGTAGAAGGAGATGCAAAGAACATCATAACTTGGGCTGCTGGCAGCACCCCTGCTCCTTGGTACCTTGCATCGATCTTTGATGAAATCTCCCACATATGTAGGGATCTTCCCGTCTTATGGATGCATACCTGGAGGGAATCAAACTCCCTCGCAGACCAGCTGACTAGGGATGGGGCTCTTGCACAGACCGTGGATCATGAAGCATCACGGATGGATTTTTAGAAGACAGGGGCCCAGTTTTTGGCACCAAAGGACGGCTCCTCTGGTTTCTTTTGTAAATGGGCGACTTCTTTAAGCCTTTTTGGCCTTCTCTATACACTGCTGTAAAGGGCAACGGATATAAGCCCCATTTTTTGTATAGGGTTAGTCCTTTCGGTAACCTATTTTTTGTATAGGGGACCCACAAGCTGGGTCGCCTGGAACAACCATTTTGTAACCCTTTTCTTCTATACAAACATTAACATTATAAAAAAAAAAAAAATTAATAATGACAATGAAACAAAACCAAAATCTGGAGTTGCTCATTGAGGTATTTCCACAACTAGGATTCTCATTGGTGGACGTAGGAGAGAGAAGAAATGGCAAGGAGTCTCGCATTAGCCAAAGTTAAAAAGGAAGATCAAATTTAGAGATTGGAAGACAAAACTGAGTGATATGTTAAAACATAGGAAAGTCTCACAAAAATAAGGGGAAAAAAAATTAAAAAGCTCCAGACAAGTTGCAGTTCTATGGAACCAGTATTGTCAACCTGTTTGTGTATATGTTGTCCCACTCAACACAAACAGTAGGTCGTAACCATGCCTAGGATTATAGACACCATTGTGTCCAAACACTAAATGGTTCACTTTTTATAACATCTATAAGCATTCAGGTGGTAAAATGTGTTTGTTTACATCTAATGAGATTTTAGCACACTTGGAAGAAACAGTGTAAGAAGTTATAGATCCATATAAATCTTAGATGTACTGAATAGTTTGCAAAGACGAGTTCACAGCTCCGTTTAGTCCCAGAAATGAAAAGCTGTATAAATGAGAATGCCAATCCTGTACGTCATCTAAAATGTGACAAAATGTTTACTAGTCATTTGTACTTACATGCCATTCTCGCGCTTACAGCATACATAATGACTGTCATGAAGTAGTAAAATATTGCAATATGTTGCGCAAGAAGGCGGTCAAACCACATAGAATTTCCTCCTAATTCCTGAAATCAGACAAAATATTTATCAAATACAAGTTTTGGATGCAAGCATTGACTAAGAAATTATAGATTCATCACCAGACAATAATCCAAATGCTCCAACAACGAAATGGTAAAAAGTAATACCAAATGATGAAATGAAAGACATCAGAAGAAAACAAGTTTGCCAGATAGATGAGAAATACCTAAGACAATGAAAAAGAGGAAGCATAATAATTACCCCAACCAGTCTCATTAGATATTGCATGAGCCTGAAGTTATTACTCTAAAACAAGTAAAGCAGTATTCAAATAAAATAAGAAAATAAAACGAATAAAAGCAAAACGTAAACTAGTAGTCATATTAACAATCTTATTATTACATCATAAGAAAATAAAATGAATAAAAACAAAATGTAAAGTAGTAGTCATATGAACAATCCTATTATTACATCATGGGGACATGCATCAAAAGTCTTCTTTACAGACAACCAGTGTTTGCCAGGTCGTGCGAGCTGGCTCATTCTCACTCAAGATGCTCCCAGGAACACCCCCCAACTCGGGGGGTTTTATATAAGTTGCCCAATACTCGGGCAGGAGTATCGTAGAGTTGCCCAAGTAATGCGAAACTCGGGCTGACTAGGGCGTACTTACCCAAATATCATACCATGAAGCATTTTACGTTCATTTTTCACCTAGACTCTAAGACTAATTTAAGATTAAATTTTGGCTGTAGTCCTATTTCCATATATCAAAAGAAAAGAAAGACATATCAAATTCGACGGATTTGAGAGGTAGAAGATATCAACCTGGGTTTTGCCCAATTTCAAAAAGTTCCAATTTGTTTGTAAGTCTGGCAGATCTTTAATGAAATTTAAAATTTGTTCCTTAAGTCCATTTTTGGGTTCCTCGTCCAGCCATAAGCTTCTTTCCCACAAAAAACACTAAGAAATTTTGATTTATAAGATTTTCATTTTGGATATATTATTCATCGAAATTTTCAAGTGCTTAGATCATCTAAAACCAAACTCAAAACGCAGATATGGCATGGGCATTTCAATTGGGGTTCTTTAAGGAAGCTTTGACAAGGATTAGAGGCATCAGTTTGCACCAAGTGCAAAGCTTGAGGTTTGACCTTCAAATTTTCTTCAATTTAAATTCATATAATCGATTTACTTTTTGCTGATATCACTCAATCTAGTAATATTTCAGTTATTGTTGCATTCTATCAAAAATGAGCAAGATTAGAACTTTTTTCAAATGTCATGTATTATGACATAATTTCAGCCAAAAACATCAATGTTTTATCATTTTCCATAATCGATTTTGCTGATATCACTCAAATCAGTTGTTGTTGCATTCTATAAAAAAAGAGCAAGATTAGAACTTTTTTCAAATATCACGTATTATGACATAATTTCAGCCAAAAACATCAATGTTTATGTATGTTGTTTATCTTTTTATTTTATTTGTAAGAATTTTTCTAATTTTACAGATTCCAGGAATTTTCCCTTTTTTTTTGAGGTTCTTCTGAGATAATTGGGCAGTTCGGTATGGCGTGGACTCGCCCAAGTCACTCTGACAGCCAGGGTCTGAGTTCAGTCACCTAGCCACATTGTCAAATAATGTGGACAACTTATGATTTCTTGAATTTGCTTCGAAAGTTCTCAATTAAATCTGAGTTTGAAAATGTAATTTCCAAGATAACATTTCAAGTCCGAACTAGCATCAGATATGAACTTTGGAATCTAGATTGAATCTCACATTAAAAGGTAGTCATGGAAAATAGGTTTGGATTGTTCCATGATTCAATGTCAATGAGCAGATCAAAAGCACATATCTGAAGCAATGTTTGAATGGCCGCTGAAATTGGCATTACTCATAGGATATCAATTTCAAAAGAGTCCAAGTTGCAGGTCTAGGAGGAAATAATAGAAGCCTAAGAAGCTTGTTTGCTCTCAAGGTTTTCAAAAGGCAATTATATGATGATAAAGAACAAAAGAAAACAGAACCCACTCCATATGCATTCTGTATCCTGGCCCGCAAGAAAACTCTTAAACAACCTTCAGTCTAGCTCTAATAATGTCTGTGTAGCATATCATCCCATAGATCCCTTCAAAGTTAACCCAATCAACTCCTTAGCATATCCCTTCAAAGTTAATCCATTCAACTCCCATGAAGAGCATCTAAACATTTGAACTAAAAATCATGCACTCAGAATATTAAATGACAAAAATCAAATCATGCCACCCCAAGGACCCGAACTGTGCCACTCAACTTCTCCACCATGAGTCCATCATTCTCCCTAGGCTTGAGAACCATCCAAAAGAAAAGGACACTCTACCTGGGATTAAATTCACAGGTTAAAACATTCAATAAAATATCCAAACTTCGTATTTACAAGTCCACTCATTCTAAGAGGAACCATACACCTAAACTCTCATGTTCTATGCAACTATAGACCATGGTTGCACCAGTCAATCAAATGATTCCAGAAGCAATAATAAACCGTGAAAGGCCTGAAATTCATTGGTTAGAGAAGTGCTAATTTCTTCTCTATTGTCCATTTAAATTTTGCAGCAGGAAAACATCATTATCAAAAGAAGCCTCTCAATCACAAGGTCGGTTCAAGCAAGGGAGGTATCATTATTGATTATTTTATAAAATGTTAAATGAAAAGGCGAAAAGACCCTTAAAGAGAAATTCTAACTCCATGACTTTTTGAAACATCCGCTTCTCAACTTGCCACACCTCAAGAAAACACAGGCTGTTTGAAACATTCTACGCATTCCAACAGTTACTATGAGATGAACACCGGGGTAAGAGCCAGAGTAGGTTGACATAGAAATGTCCATGAGCAGCTAATCAAGAGTTGCAACAGGGAGCGACTGTTCTAAAATTCATTTGGCCAAGAATGGAAATGCTTCAGCAAGCCACTTTGGGAAAGATTTCAAGGTTTATTTATTCCTTACAAGAATGAACAAACGAAATGGAATCATTAAAATATTTTAGAGAAAAAGATATGCTAAAATTTATAAAATATATATCAAAGAATCCAAAATTATCTATTTTTGCAATTTGATTGTTCACCTTAGTTAAATTTATTCATGCCTCACTATACCATTTGCATGCACGTAGCTAAACTTATTAGAAAGATCATAAATACCCATACCTACATATAAAGTTTCTGGACCTAAGGCTCAATGGATGGATAGCCAAACCCGCTCTCCTTGGGTCCACAGCTACTCCAAATCACCCCATAAGTCCCCCCTGCAAGGAGAACTCCTTCAAAGCTTCTTGAGTGTCCTCTTGCTACATTGAGCAAGCTTAGCGAATAATGGGGCTGTGTCGTCTTAGCATAAAAACTTCCCTTTCCATTCCATATCGCTTCTCCAGACAGTTTCCATAATAGTCTTCACAGTTGCTCAAATCAGTTCCCACAAAAACCAAGTAACCAAAACATAACGAATTCTATAGAACTTCAATAAGCTATTGCCCACAACTAACCTCCGCATCCACTCAAATACCATGACTCTACCTTCCACATATCAATTTTCAACTACAGGACTCTCGAAAGAAAGAAAGGTCCCTCAGGCATCAGTCTAGTGGTAAGACACCTAGTTTTTCATGAGGCAGGGCAAGGGCCATTGTTCAAAAAAGCGGACTGCTCAGCGCCTAGGCGACCACCCAGGCGGTCCAGCACCCAGGCCTAGGTGGCCAAACTGGGCGGTGATCCCTGGGCGGCCGCTCAGGGCTTGCGCCCCGCACAGAGGTGGAAAAGTATTTTTTTTTTTTTTTTCGCTTTTTTCAAGATATGAAAGTTTATAAATACGGGTTTTAGGTTCATTTGAAACCTAAACCCCCAATAAATCCTTTTAGAGATAAAGAAACCTCCAAAAAACTACATTTTATTGGATTGAATCATCGAAGTGTTTCTCAAAGTTTGGAGTTCAAGCAACCAAATTACCAAAGTAAGTGCAACTTTTAGATTGCCGGTTTTATTGTGAGATGTCTTCTTCAGGAGTTAGTCAGAAATGGAGATCCGGGTTGTAAATATGGATACAACCCGAATCCAAATGACAAAAATTGCGTTTGACAATTTTTACGAAAAATATACAAAATGAGGCATAAACCGGTTTAAGAAACATCTTGCCGGTATTAAAGGGGATGTTGCCCCTTGTTAAAATGTTCGTGAAGCTATCAGAGAGGAGATTAAGCAATTTATAAGTTATGTAAAACAAAAGCAATAATAAAATCCTTGTCATAGATCTATTTCTGCTGCTCCTAGAAAAAGTGATCTGGGTTGGAAGTATGGGTACAACCCAAAACCAAATGATAAAAATTGTATACTGTGTAATTTTTGTGAAAAAGATACCAATGCGGGTATTAACCGATTCAAAAAAACACCTTGCTGGCGTTAGAGGTATTGTTGCTTCTTGTACAAAGGTTCCTGAAGCAGTTCGAGATGAGATTAGACATCTTCTGAATTTTGAAGAACCAAAAAAAGATGAAAATAAGCCTTGTTCTATGGAAGTATCTTCTCCAGGTTCCAGACGGAGTGGTGATCCGGATTGAAAGTATGGTTGTAACTAGAATCCAAGTGATAAAAATCATATTAAATGTAATCATTGTGGAAAGGATACTAATGGGGGCATTTACCGGTTAAAAAACACCTTGTCGGTATTAAGGGGGATGTTGCCCCTTGTAAAAATGTTCCTAAGGCTATCAAAGAGGAAATTATACAATATTTGAGTTCAGAGAAGCACAAAAAAAATGGTAGAGCAGCCAAGATTCCTAGGGCCTCATCTGCACAAACTAGTAAGAGGAAGGTAGAAAGACGTGGAGGAGGAAGAGGCGGATTCAGAAAAAACAAAAGAGGACGAATGTTATATTGAAGAGGGAGATGACTCTGATGATGATGGCCTCGACTCTGATGCATATGATTAGGCTTGCCCTATTGATATTCCTTCTGATGATGATGACGATGACTGAAGACTCTTGCCTCTTGGTTCTGAGTGTTGAGTCTGTTGATTGTTGTGTTGAGTCATGAGTGTTGACTTTTGTTATAATATATATTTTCTAAATTTTTCTTGTGTTGAGTGTTGAGTGTTGACTTTTATATCCTACCTACAATTGTATGGTTTTACAGTTTACTGTTTTAACAATATGGATTATCAAAATTCTCCTCTCAACTTCTATCTTTTTTTTTTCACTTGGAATATGGTATTATATTAGTAATAATTTGATATGGTTTTTACTTTTTTTCAAATTTCAACTAGCAGCCCGCCCAGGTTCTAGGCTCCTGCCTAGGCGATGGGCGACCTGGACCCCCCAAGCTGCCTAGGACCCGCCTAGCGCTTTTTGATACACTGGCAAGGGTTGGAAGTTTATCTAGAGAGAAACATAGCTGAATTACCCTTCTCTTTAGTCTAGTAGGCCTTTGTTTAATGGTAAGACACCATGTTCTCTTTTGTCAAGTGGCTTTTGCCTAACGTAAAGACACTATTTATAGAGGCGTGAAATATGGGATCAAACCTCCCTCTTGTAAACACCCCAAAAGAAAAACATTATGATGGCATTCCTAGTTCCCCAATTTCTTTGCAAAATACAATAGCATCATCCACAATTTCAAATGAATCACCATCTACATACCATCGCTTATTGTGATTCCTACTGAGGGGATTCCACTGTGATAGTAGAAAAGAACATAATGAGGGATAAAAGATGCCCCATTCTCAAGACTCTCAGCCTTTCAAAATAACCCTTTCATGCCTCCTTAATTGTAACAGGAAAATTAGTTTCGTGATGAGGTTAAATACACCCTTTCTATCTATATGTTAACCCGACCCAATCCATTAGCTAATAAGGAAATCCATGAGGTGTTGGTGTCTCGTCAAGATCTGGTTTTTTTCAAGACAGTAACTTGTTTTTAATTAGGTATCTCGAAACTATCAAAGCTATTAATTGTGAATTGTGTATATTTTCTTCCTTTTATTTTATAAATCACATAGGTTGTACATAGGATGATCTTTCTTAAATGCAGGCTATATTAAGATATTTTGTTTCTTTGTTTTGTATACCACATAGGTTGTACTAATGTAACCCCTCTGTATACAATTGGATTTTCTCTCACAAGTTGAATACAAAAAATTCTTCTTCCACATGGTAACAGAGCCCTAGATCATTATCATGTTGTTTCTATCTGCTCGTCTGCTATTGCTCAATCGTGTATATTCTTGACCGAGTTGTTCTTTGATCGACTTGCTACATCGATTTCAGATCTGCACCATTGGAGACCAGTTGCATCGCCACTTTCAAGCCCCTTTCTATTCTTTCAGCTGTCTCGACTATTTTTCTCTCTCTAGCAAAGATATCAAGTTTTGTTCATTGCTCAATTCTGTTGATCTCCCGTTGGTCGATCCTGCCCTGTTCTTGCCTTCTAAGACTTGTGATCTGTCTTTGATTTTACTGATCTAAGCTTCGATTTGCACCATCCAAGACCTCTAAGGTTGTTGATTATTCTTGGTTCTTGCGGATCCAAGCATTGAGTCTGTTCAGCCTTCTTGCAAAAGGTGTTTCTACTGTCATAACAAAATAGATAGATATTTCCACTAAAATAAATTGGCACAATAACTTTTTCCCCTCTTTTTACCAATGAAAAAATCTACAATGACTCTTACAATGTAACAGTTTCAGTCGTTGCTCTCACAATCCCGATGGCCCAATGAATATGGTTTTGACGATCTCTCAGGCAGACATTTCTTACGTTGTTCAACTGGTTAGTCGATTCTTTAGTGCCCCTTGCTTTGTTTATTTGGCAGTTGTTTTATGTATTATTCATTATATTCGGGACACACTTGATCATGCTATGTTGTTTTCTTCGTCTTTCAGTCTTGAGCTTTGTGCTTACATTGACTTTGATTTTGCAAGGGACACTTCCAACCAGAAGTCTACGACAGGGTTTTGTGTTTCTATTTGTGACTTCCTTCTTCTAGAGCAAGAAACAATAACATATTGCTCAGTCCACAACTAAAGTGGAGTATGGAGTCATGGCTTAAATAACGGTTGAGATTGTCTGGCTTCATTGGTTATTAGCTGACTTGGGTGTGGAACTTTCTGCTTCTACTCCCTTATAGTGTGATAACAAATGTGTGACTTCTATTAATAAGAACCCAAATTCCATGAGCGGCATATTGAAGTAGATTGTCATTTTGTTCAATAGGAATATTTAATTGAGACAATCTCTCTTCCATACATCGCATCTTCTTTTTTTTTTAAAAGGTTTCCATACATCACATCTTCCGCACAGCTTGCTGACTTCTTTTTACAATCCCATAATGCTCCTCATTTCTCAATCCTTGCTTCCAAACTTAAAGGTTCACCTCCAAACATCACGAGTTTGAGTGGGAGTGTGAAACTGTGTATATTTTCTTTTTTTATTTTGTATATCAAACCAGTTGTACCAAATAGGATAACCTTTCCTTGATCATGCAGGTCTTATTAAAATATTTTCCGTCCTTTTTTGTATATCACACGGGCTATATAATGTTACCACCTCTGTATACATATATTTGATTTTCTCCCACAAATTGAATACAGAAAAATTATTCTTCTTGCACTTTAATAACAACTTGGTCATCAGAAACACCTAAGTCTCTGGAAGTTGGAGCTGAAGTGCACACGGACAATGTTCATGACGTGTATTGGCTTTTGGTGTATGAAAGCTATCAAAGTGAAAGGTTCCTGCAAGTAGGAAATAAGAAGAAATTTTGCAGTCTGCTCTATATTTCTTGTTACAAAAGGTGCTAAAAAGGTGCAAATTTTGTACAATTTAGGCACACCAGATTCAGAAAACACCATATATTATGATCCATCGATTGACATCCCTCTACTATGCATCATACTTTTAAAAGAAAGAAAAAAAGGGTAATATGTTGCCACTCAAAACACAGGTTATTCATGAAAAGAACTAAACTTCAGTGAGAGACCCAAATAACTACAGAAAACAAAAAAATAACAAAACCTCCATAATTAGCAAATGGTGCAACTCATTCCAGCTTTCTGCAAAGTGCACTTTCAAATAATCAGCTCTCCTCCACCAACCAAAGCTTTCGTACATGTGCAAAACTGACATGAAAGCTGCAAGAGACAAAATATCCAAATCCATATCCATCAAACATAAGGAATTCATGAGCACAGAATAATATAGAGTTCCATTTAAAATTTTGACCACTATGAATCTGTAGACCCAGCAGTAGAAAATAAACAAGTAAAAAATGAAAGCTAGAGGATAAGAAATCCCTAACTCACCAAAATAAGGTACTCTTGCAATAGTTTCTAGAACATAAAATCTGGCATAATGCCGATCACGGTACAACGCATCCAAGATCTTGATAACTACTTCCTGCAAGAAATGGTAAGTAAATTAAAAGTTACACATACAGAATACCCACAAGTTTTAAGCAATAGATTTATTGAGAACATAGGAAGAAGAAATTCACAAAACTAATTAGACTTCAAATTAGGGTCTCTTAGTGAGCAAGTCAGGTTTTAGGGTTTTCTTCTACAAATATGCAAGTGTTGGACAGGAAAGAGTACAAAGAAAAAAGAGTTTATTTTGAGTCTCGTGAAAAGATCTTTTTGGAAGTGAACTTCATTGCAATCCTTGAGAGAGGATATATTCTCTCACCCTTTATTGTCTTCTATATTTCTACTTTACTAAATTTCTTTCTCCCTTCACCCTAATCAATTAGCATCAGATCATCCATGCATCAATTGGTATCAGATCCTAGAGATCAGAGATCCATATACCATGATGCTACCACAAACATCAACCGATCCACTTATAGAGAGTGTGGATCAAATAATTGAGACAGTCAAAAAAGACCAGACAGAACATCATCATCATAGCCTTTTTTCATACTATTTGGGGTCGGCTACACGAATCCTAGTCCACCATTCCGCTCTATCAAGGGCCATAGCCTGAGTAAGGTCATAAGTCCCCATATTTTTTCTCACTACTTTCAACCATGTCCTACCCCTTACCGTTTTTTAGCCTTCCACTTGAATTAACTCACATCTCCTAATAGGTGTCGTACCTAAGTCTACTTTCTTTCATCTTATCGCCTATTGGTGCCACACTTAAGTTCTTCCTAAATACACATCATTTGCAAAAAGATCAAACAGAACATCTCGGTAGTATAATACAAGAAGTTCTACAACATCTACCCAGCAAATTGCAACACAGGGAACAAGAATATGAAGAGGTGGAAAATCAAAAACTTGATCACCAATTCAAGCTTTGGTCACATAACACAACATGCTCTAACAGTTGATCTAAACATAAGGCATGAAAAACAAATGGTGGAAACCGCAAGAGAGTTTGGCATCACAGTCAACCTCCGAAACATATCACAATTTTGTTGGATTAAGTCCAACAATTAAAAGTTGGATAAGAAAAGGGTGAAAATTTCTAGTTTGAACAAAGTGGAGAAAACATAGAAGGAAAATTCGAATTCCATAAGCTCAATATCGAGCTTCTGTCAACCTCGAGAGTATAATGTAATGGGTTTTTATTTTTTTTATTTTACTATTCTCTAGATTTTAGGTTTAGGCTTACTCTGGATTTCTAGCTTTCTTTTCGGGGGGGGAGGAGAGAGAGAGGACACGAGCTGTAGAGGAAGAGTGTATTCAAGAGAGAAGTGTTGTAAATGCAACAGCAAGGGAAAAGAGAGCGTCATAAATGTGATGGAGGGGAAGGGAGAGAAAGAGGACACAAGCTGTAGGGGAAGAGTGCCATGAAGAGAGAGTGCTAAGAATCAGATGGAGAGTGTGTCATACAAGCGATTGGAGAGAGAGAGAGATAAATGTGATGAAGATAGTGCAATAAATATAGTGGAGAGAGAGAGAAGGGTGTGTGTGGGGGAGCGGGGGAGAGAGAAAGAGAAGGGTTTGTATGGGAGAGAGGGGGAGAGAGAGAGAGGACACGAGCGGAAGAGAGAGAGAGCTATAAATGTGATGGAGAGAGAGTGAGACTATACAATGAAAAGAAAGAGATGGTGCAATAAATGCGATGGAGAGAGGAATTGCAATAAATGCCATAGGATTCTCTCTCTCTCTCTCTCTCTCTCTCTCTCACACACACACACACACACACACATTGTTTTCTCTTCTTTCTTTTTAAGCCATGGCACCCTGCCCAGGCAGGCACCTAGGTGGGATTGGGCGCCTTTGCAGGCACCTAGGCACATGCCGGGCCCGTTCATTTTGGAAGGCTGCCTAAACCACCCAAGCAGCTGAATTTCTTTCGGTGCCTTAGATTAAACGAAAATGACGATGTAGCCTTTACTACATCTAAAATCAAGGAGCAGGTATAGTGGTGCTAGTCAGGTATCAACTTTCAGCAATTTTTCCATCAACTTTTATTACCAACATGCCCACATTACAAGTGCGGCCATATACTTTCGTATATATTTACAACAAACCAAAAACAACCCTATGATCAGGTTGCAGCCATGCTCTTGGGAACACCACACAAAACCAAGTATAACAGAAAATAAAACATATTTTTGAGAGTTGCCCAGGTACCCATGAGCCTTGGCTAACCCCATACCCGATCTTCACGGATCAATGGTGCCCCAACTTGAGCAAAGTTCTAAACTCAACTCAAAAACTTCTCAACAAACTCGCAGGATGTGACTCATTTGGTTTCTCTTCCGCTCAAGGATTTCTCTTCATCTCTAGGTTTTCTTCATAGTGGAAATGCAGCCTAGTGACGATGTTGATCTTCTCTCACTTGTGCATCTCTATGAACTCCTCATCTTCTCACATCAGCAGTGCCAAAAGATCATCTTTTCTCAATCTTTGACCCATAAAAGAGGCCTTCCACTATGGAGAGCAACAGCTCATAGAGAAACCTTTTCTCTTCTCTTGGATGTCTTGAGGAGACCCACATGAAGGCCACCTCTTCCTCCTTTGCTCCATGGTGATTTTCATGCCTCTTTTACCTTCGTCTTCTTGTTATCTGCTGCAACTGAGGAATGCTTTTCTCAGCCATGTGCTTTCTTTGATGATGTCTCTTCGTTTCTCCAATCATGCCTGCTATGGAGAGACATTTTTGAGTCTTCACCACATGCTCCGTCCCCACTGCAACTGAAGATCTGGTCTTCATCTTGTGTCTGACCCAAAGGTGCATATTTCTTCTCTACAATGTGTCAAACCTAGAGATATTGAAATTCTGACGTGCAGCCCACTGAAGTTGTCGCTTCTTTCTTTTTTACCACACACCAGCCATGGAGAACTCCTTTCTCTCTTCTTGGCAATGGAGTGAAACCCTGTCCTTTCAACATTCCACCCTGCTTAGCTCTTCCACACAAATACCACATGTGTCTTATAGAAGAGTGGGCCCATCCTTTATATAGGCTTTCTTAAGTCAGCGTTTAAGTTTAGACTTATGCCTTCGATGGAAGATCTCTAAGGTGAGAGAGGCCTATAAATCTCAGCTATCCACCCAAGGACTAGCCACCATGACAAGGGGGAAATTGCACCATTATTCCGAATTCTTCGTTTCACACTCTTTCAAATTTTAACCTACACAGGATTCCAATCTTTCCCAGTCCCACTTGGACACAGAGAATCTTTCCAAAGCTTTTTTCTTTCTTTTAAAGAGCAATTATTTTCTAAAAATAACTCCAACAACCTTTTTAAGTATTTAGGGAATCTTGACAGACTTGTAAATACCTTCATTAGTTAGGAAAATAAAGAAAATATAAGATACTATAATCAAAACCACATGAAACAACTTCCAACCAACTCATGATAGGAATTAGGAGATTCTTGGCTATGATGTGGAGCCCATGGCTAGTGAGCCCAACACATCACACCATCGGTTGGCATGTGGAGCCAAAGACAATGGGCCCATGTGATCCATATAGGTTGCATGGGCACATGCGTGCCAGGCACATGACCCACATCTCTATAGTCCCTGGAGAAATCAAAATTATATTTCCAAAAGTACCCTTCTTTCTTTCAATAACACACAAACACACATTTAACGTGACTCCTATGAGGAATAAAAACCAATTTATTCCTCTCAAAAAGCCCTTTTAAAACATGAGAAGATCTTTGAAAGAGTGAGCATGCCATGGGATAACACATCAACTTAGAACCTCGCACTCCATGCTAGCAACTCTGCAATCACTCTCTACATAGCAAGTTGATGCAACAAAACCCATGACCCAAGGTCTATCTGTAGGGGGCTCATCATTGGCTAATCACAAGTCAAACACGAACGTCAAGCGGTCCACTTTGATCCTCTCTCAGCACATGCACAAGTGGTCCACTTTGATCCTACTTATAATTGCAGCTATCATGCACGAATGTAATCAGGGTGGTGTATTGAGGCTTTAGTCCTTACCCTCACACCCCTCCAACCCTCACGCAAGAGTACATATTCCTCCTAGCTATACCTACCACTAAGCTCTCTACAAACTCGACTAGGGATAAACCAGAAACCCCCCCATTGTAAGTGCACCTGGCACTGAGCCAATGTCAAGCCCAAGGTCAGATTTTTTGCTGGTCCACTACCAAAGCGAGAACCCATGGCACTCATGCCACATCGCTATAATGACACCTCTTTAATCCATAGAGCCACCGTAAGGTCTATTTCATCCATAACGTCCATTGCACCTTCATGGACCGATATGCGCTCCCCCTCAAAAGCTAGGATGTGCACCTTTATCACAACAGCAACATGAGCGCTCTACATGGGGAAAACAAGAACTAAGACCTTTAAAGGCCACCAAACCCAACAGGCTGCAACCCAATAACCCATTATTTTGAATGGATGAGGACCAAAGAACCTCCAAGATCATTCCTTTATTCTTTAATATCAGTCTGATGGATCCGAAGCCCTAAAAGTGCTCCATCTTGAAAGCCATCTCAAAAACTGACATGAATTGTCCATTTCAATGTGGGTAGATGGATCAAATTTGGAGCTTTCTAGAGCCAAATCCATCATTTTGTGATGGAGAAGGAAGCACAGGTGCTTTGGACTGTCTTTACATCCTCGAAGTTTGAACCATGAAAATAGTGGGTTTAAAGAGCAACCATACAGCACATGTTGTAGCCACGTCAACACCATCAACAGAACCTAAACTGATTTGAGGAAAACTTTTATGTGGAACATGGAGAAAATCTTAAAACAATTGCCCACCCTTCCAGACTTATCTATGTCATTTCAAAGTTGCTCAATATCATCTGATATTTGCTGGGAGCCCAAGGGTCTGTTTGATGGCATCCTAATATCCTAATAATCTAAAATCCCCTATAATTCTCATTATATGAGTTTACATGCCTTGTTTGATAGGATTAAATCATAATTTTTAATATTAAGATGACTCCCAAAAATCTAAATTCCCAAATATTTAACTTGTAGTTGAATTTTGTGGGATTTAACTTTTACATTATAATTTTTTCTTTAATTTCTCTCTCTCATCCACTCATCTCCCTCTTTTGTCCCCTCCCCCTCCTCTCAACGAAGACACCTCTCTCTCTCTCTCTCTCTCTCTCTCTCTCTCTCGTCGTCGTACGTACGTACGTACGTACGTACGTAACGTAAGTAACGTAACGAACGTAACGTAACGTAACGTAACGTAACGTAACGTTAACGTAACGTAAC